CAGGACCCACCAACACCCACACTAGGTGCTGCCCACTGCCGGAGGCCTGGCTGCAACTCCACCCTCTCCCTTCTCCTCCTCACTGGCCACGGGCCCCAGACTAGGTATGTGGTCAACTTTTCAGGGACCAGCAAATGCGCACCTTACCAGTTACAAAAGGAAGTGACGAGGCTGAAAGACCCTTCCTGCCTGCGTCCTTTGCTCCCTGTTGCGGTCTCCTTCCTGAAACACACTTCGGTTTAGTTCATCATCCAAGCCACACGCTTGTTGGCGGGGACAATGACATTACATGTACCCAACATGACAGGGCAATGTCACTGAGACACCTGTTCTGTTATCCGCTCGAGCTTATGGAAACTGCCGCAGGTTGGGGGGAAAAAAAACTGAAAATTTAAAATATTCTATGGGGTGCCTGGGTGGCTCAGTCGGTTGAGTGTCCAACTGTGGCTCAGGTCATGATCTCACAGTTCGTGGGTTCAAGCCCCACAACAGGCTCTGTGCTGACAGCTCAGAGCCTGGAGCCTGCTTCTGACTCTGTGTCTCCCTCTCTCTCTGCCCCTCCCCTGCTCACTCTCTGTCTCTCTCTCAAAAAAAATAAACAATTTAAAAAAAAAGTAAAATATTCTACCTACCCACTTTAAGAAAATTTAGGCAAGGCCATGCCAGTTCAAATTACAAATCAGCCCAGTCAGCTTGTCCGGAAGCAGAAACAGACGCTGCCCCTCTCAGCCTGCCACCCTGTCCGGCTGGGGTAGGCTGATCCCTACATCACACACAGCGTAGGTGAGCGCCTCTGGCAAAGGGACAGGTAAGAAACCCAGCCCCGCACAGATGAGTCGCATACACTGGAAACTGGTGGTTTGTTGCCCTGGTTAGCCACTGACCCTGGGAGCTGCTGGGGCTCTGCTCTGCTGGTCACAGCTAGGAGAGAGGCAGGCAGGGCAGGAGCAGTGCAGTGAAGGCAGAACAAATAGGCCTCAATGACTGGGCTCAGGTCCCAGAGCAGCGGGGGAGGCAGCTCCAGGACCAGGGAGGGCACGTGGTGAGAAGAGGGCACCCACACCCATCAGCACCAGGTGCCCAGCGGCCACACTCCGGCCGACAAAGCCTGGAGAGAAGTGTCACCCAGGAACTCAGCAACCAGCTGCTCAGGGCCCAGGAGAAGGGGGTCGGGCAGCCAGCGCCTAGGGAGACAACGGGTGCCAGGCCCCGTGCTGCCTGTGACAGCTGCAGAGTCTCGGCTTGTCTGAGTTTTAGCTCCTCATCTGCAAAACGGGACGATGGTGGTGCTTCCATCACAGGGTGGCGGAGGGGACGAGATGACAGACAGCCAAGGGGGAGCCCAGCACTGTGACCACGCCGGGCACACCTCACACTCAGGGCCGACGCCCCTCTTGGAACCTGGCATCTGACAGAAGAAAGGTAAAGCCTAGTAAATCGCCCAGAAAGCGGACAGAACCCAGACACAAGCACCAACCACACACAGAGAAAGAAAAGAGACTACGAGGGGTTGTGCGGTGACCCAGCGACAACAGCAAGTTTCTGTCAACACAGACACGCTGCACACGGGCCGCTTGTTCATTGAGGACACGCAGCAGTTGATGCCTCCTGGGTACACATCTCACACCAACACTGGGGACAAAGCAGCGGATGATGCACCACAGGCATACCGTCCGGGACCCGTCCTGGCTCAGGAAAACAGCACAGCCTTCCCCCTGGGTTGGCGCTGAGGACACACACCAACTTCCAGCCAGGTGGGAAGAGATGTTCAGAACCGTCCAAGGAAGCACCATGGAGCTGGGGGAACGGTGAGCTCCAGCCTAGCCAGCGGGTGGCTGACAGGGGCTGTGGCCGACGCTCTGGACTGCTCCCCCAATGGACAGGGCACGCACTGTTCGCTCCCACAGACATCAACAACCAGCAGGCCCCAGAAGCTCACGCAGACATCACGCTTGCCTGGCTTTGTCCACACCCGTCACAAACGCCTCGCTCCTCCTACTAACCCGCCAGCCACGCCCGAGGCTCAAAGTACACTCAGCAGCTCCCAGCGACACTGACCGCCAGAGAAGCAGACAGGCCGGGATGGATTCGTGTCCGCTAGTGAGTCTTTCAGAACGTGGGCCTATCGACCACAGTGCGCTTGCTCGTCGGCCCTCGAGCCTCACTGTGAAGACCTGTGGGCGCCAAGACGTTCGCTGCCCTCAGAAAGGTGGCAGCGGGCCCGTGCACCCACAGCAAGGGCGTCCCTGGGCTCCGGGGGCGGCCAGCACACACCCCCAGGGCAGACTCAGAGCCGGGGTGCACTCGGGAGTAGAAGTTGCTCATGAAACACCCGCACCTCCTTCCAGCCAGCTCTCACAACCAAGACCCGTTGACACATTGGTACCGGAGCATAATGTCCCAGCAGGTAGCCCGGCTGGACCTCTGTGCAGAGCACGCCTCCCCCAAAGACGGCGCCCGCCTCCTCTACGACCACTGCTGCGTATTTAGGGGAGACAGAGACCTCCTGCAGGGAACGGTTCCAGACCACGCAGACCTGCACACACAGAGCACACCGGCCCGGCCAGAGAGCAAGAGCCTCCTGCGGGCTCCCTGGGGCACAGGCACAGTGTCGCACACGGCTGTCCCCGCTTTGGGTGCCAGCACGAGGAAGGCCACCTGGATGACTCCCGTGTCTGCAAAGCCGAGAAGAACGATGTGCACTCAACTCACACACCTGCCTCAAGAACAAGCTGGGCGAGACTTCGATGCAGGTGAGGAATCAGGTCGGCCTGAGGAAGGGACTTTGATCACCCGTCCTCCACGAAGTGGGGATTTCCCTGCCGTGGGGTATCCGCTCCCGGTCACAGGAACCATGCACGTTCGGGCAGAACACAAAGAAACCGGGAGAGACGCTGAAGGCTTTCAACGGTGAATGGGAAAAAGAAATGCACATGTATCCCTTGCAAGAGAATAAAAAATACAACAATTCCCGGGGAGCCTGGCTGGCTCAGTCGGTTAAGCTTCGTCCGGCTTCGGCTCAGGTCAGGATCTCGAAGTTCGTGAATTCAAGCCCCACATCAGGCTCTCTGTCGTCAGCACCGAGCCCGCTTCGGATCCTGTCCGTTCCGCCCCTCCGCCCCGCTCATTCTCTCCCTCAAAAATAAACGCTAAAAAAAAAAAATTCCTGAACGTTATTAACTCTTCCAAAAAGCGCATTTACGTTCTCACGGAAACCCGAGAACCGGCTGCTCCAGAGCTCCCCAAACCCTCAAGAGTCTCCCTTAAGAAGCCTTCAGAGAAGAAAGAGGCGCTCTCGGAACCACCAACTTCACTCTGCGAAAGAGCACTGGCCCCCAGGGTCCGTGAGCTGGTGCCCTGACCACAAGCACCCGCTCCCCTGCTGCACACGTCTTAACCCTGAGGATGCTACGCAGAGGCTGGCGTTTCCTACTTTCTAGTCGATGGGAACTGTGAGTGTGCCCTGGCCCTAACTGCACATGCGGCCTTTCCAAGGGTGGGCTTTCCTCACCACTTCTGGAAGACGGCCGTCCCCCCGGCCCAGCTCCCTGGCCTCAGGCAGGTCGCCGTGCTCTACTCGATACTGGCCCTACTTCAGTCAACGTGCCACAGGAACTAGGGCAGCCACCGCCGCCACCCGACAGAGGGGACAGGAGGTGGGACCCCTCTCTCCGACTAGCGGCTCTGTGTGCCCCGAGTGCTCACTGCACCCGACTGGAGTAGCTGCCGGCAGGCTGAGCTAGGCCTCGAAGGCACAGACCCAGGTTCCAGGAAAACACTGCTGCCCCTGATGAAGCCAGGGCCCCTCGCGCTCTTGTAAACGCGCACCACCGGCCTCCGGGGAGCGCGGCTCCCCCTGGAAAGGCAGCCGACCGCTCACTGTCAGGAAGGACACCTCTGACCGGCACCGCGAAGCGACCGTCGAGGTGGCGGGAGCCCAGGACGGGGCACGCCAAGGCCCCAGTGGGGCCCCTCCCTCACCCACAACACACCCAGGGCTGCTCCCTTCTTGCCCTTCGAGGGACCTCCTCTTAGAGGGGCTGAGAACACACGCTCCGGGAGGCGAGGCGGCGGCCGCCTACCACCGAGGCCGTCCCAGCAGGAAGGGCGTGCAGCCGGTCCAGGTGATCCAACAACCTTGACAAGTCCTAAAACGAAAGGTTGGGAAAAACAGCGTCCACGCCGCCAGCCGCCTGTAGGCGAGCAATTTAGCAAACAGCAAACGCTCAGAGCAGTCTGACAGGACCGACCAGAGTCCAAGAAACAAAGCAACAAAGGGCGTGGAGAACAAAGACCTGAAGAGGTAAAATTAGATAAAACTACTTGCGGGAGCACAGAGGTCCTTGCAAAACCTGGGTGCTGACGTTCCCAAGCGGCTCTCCTGGTTCCTCTAAAGGGACCCCAAGTCCACGTGGCTTGGGACGGGCCCCAGCACAGAGGGGGCACCGGCCCCACCGCTGCACTTGGCCGTGTTAACTGCCTTCGCAGGGGACGCGTATGTGCTGCGTATTTGAGCCGCGCAGCCACTAGCGTTGAGAGCGGGGCATGTCCTTCCAGCACCGGCGCCGGTTCCCCGGGCGCAGCCGCGGGGTCACGGGAGCGGCCCGGCCACCCCTGGCACACCTGCTCACGGGCTGTGCGCCGCACAGAAGCCCCCGCACCTACATCCTGGCCCCCACTTTCACAGCCCCTCTCAGGGCACTGCCGGCCCCGCGGGGGCCCGCAGCCACCAGGCCGCTCGCCGCCAAGTCGCGGCCGCCCGTCTAGCGCGCAGCCCCCACGAAGGCCTCAGGCCGATGAGCAAAGTGCCAAGCCGCCGAGAGCTCCGGCTCCGGCTGCCGCGGCGCCGCCGGGGGCCTCCTCCGGGGAAGAAAGAGGAGACGGGGACGCAGGCCCGCTCCCCGCCGGCGCGGGGTCGGTCCGGGCGCCGTGGACGCGAGAAGGCAGGCCCCCGCGACTGCCGGCCGGGCTGGCCGGGCGGGCCCGGAGCGCGGCCTTACCGTTGCTATAGGCGTACGGAGACTCGGCCGCGCCGTCCTGCAGGCTCTCCAGGATCTCTC